TTCGTTCGACATTAGTTATATTAAATATATTTAAAATTATTAATATTAAGGATAAATTAATTAAGAAACTTTCCAGGTTGTGGCAATATTTTGAATGTTTTGGATGCTATTAATATTGTTATAATACTCGCTGTCGTAACCGATTTACGATGCGACGGGTTCGAATCTTCGATTGAATAAAATTCTCCAAACAGTTATTAGTTGTTAAACTTTATTTACAGAAGAAATCAATTAATCGTTTATTTCTAGCAAATTCAAATTAACACAACAATTAACTTTTAAATTGTTCAAAATCTATCGTTATGACAACGTCAACAAAACAAATCAAATATCGCTTTAAATAATTCACCAAATCGCTATTCACAAAATCACAGAGTCACGAATTTACAAAATCACGAATTTCACTAATCGCTAATCTTCTTGCGACGTGCGCTTATATACTCTTCGCAAGCGTCGTTTCTAGATTCTTCTAGATGGTCCGATTCTAGCATACTCTAGTCTAGAATGCTCCAGTCACTAGAACATTCTAGAATACGCTAGAATCTAGTGCGTTCGGTACCCCGGTTATAACATTACCCCCTTCTTAGTTCTGTTCGTCCCGAACAGCTTTCGTTCCGGTGTCCGCATGGTACGGAGCCAGTCTATCCAAATGAACGATCTTCATTCTTGCTCTCGGTTTCCGATATTCCTGAATACGGTAGAAGACGTCATTCAAGCGGGTGATGACTTGATAAGGTCCTTCCCACCCTCGCTGGAGCTTTGGAGAACGTCCTTTCTTTCGCTGTGGGTTGTACAGCCAAACTAACTCGTCGACAGCAAAACCGCCACTGCTTCCTTTTAAGTCGTATCTGGTTTTGGCCGCCTCCGTGTTTTTCATAATTTTAAGGCGTACGTAACGGTGGATATGGTTTAATCGCTGTCGAAGATTATCCACGTATTCTGTTAATGGTTGGTGTGGTTCAGGTGGTACGCCATATTTCACATCAGGTGGAGTTCTTAAGATAGTCCCAAACAGAACTTTTGATGGCGTTTCTCCAGTAGTTGTGTGGATAGCACTCCGGTATGCCATAAGAAACAATGGTATATGACGATCCCAATCCCGTTGATTTTCGTCGACTACTTTAGCCAGATGTTCAATCAGGGTTTGGTTAAATCGTTCCACCATACCGTCAGACTGTGGGTGAAGAGGTGTCGTTCGAGTTTTGTTTATACCCAGCAGCTTGCACATTTCACCAAACAGTTGTGACTCGAAATTTCGACCTTGATCTGAGTGGAGTTCCAATGGGACACCATATTGACTAATCCAATTGAGTACAATTTCCTCAGCGACGGTACATGCTTCTTGGTTGGGTATTGGAAACATCTCAGGCCATTTGCTGAAATAGTTCGCTACAACCAGAATGTAACGGTTTCCATAATCTGATACCGGAAAGGGTCCAGCAATATCTATAGCAACCGTTCAAAGGGGACACCAACATTGTAGATTTGCATTGCTCCTTTTAGCCTTCTTTTGGGTCCTTTGACTGAAACGCATGTGTTACATTTTCGACACCAGCTCTCTAAATCTTCTCTAACGTGAAGCCAGTAGAATCCTTCTCGTATTTTGTCAAAGGTCTTGTTCACTCCTAAATGTCCCCCAGAAGGGCCGCCATGCATTTCATCAAGGATTTCGGTCGTTCTACTTCTTGGTATTACAACTTGCATGCGGTGTTTTGATCCATCAGCTGATTCCCATTTTCGTTTCAGGAAATCCCCTTCCAAATACAATAAGTCCCACTGAGCCTAATAACCCTTTAACACGGCACTATATTCTGAGATGCTTTGCCAGTCCGGTCGCTTGCCCTCCTTTTTCCATGTGATCAGATGTTGTAGGTCCTCATCCGCAAACTGTGCATCAGCAAGATCCGTCGGTGTCCAACCGTCATCCGCTGATATTGATGTTGCTCTTATGTCTTCCGATTGTATCTTCTCCTCGTGACGACAGCAATATTTGCATCCTGGTAAACATGGTCGACGTGAGGGAGCATCAGCATTACTATGAGTTGTTTCTTTGCGGTGCACGATCTCGAAGTCGTACATTTGTAAACGCTCCAACCATCGGGCCATCTGTCCTTCAAGATCCTTGAAATTGAGGAGCCATCTTAACGCTGCATGATCAGTTCGGAGAAGAAATTTCTGTCCATAAAGGTACTTGTAGAAGTGTTTTGTTGCATTGACTATTGCTAGTAACTCCTTCCTGGTCACACAATAGTTTCGTTCGGGCTTTGTGAATCCTCTGCTATAATACGCTAGCACCTTTCCTTCTCCGTCTATATGCTGTGACAAAACGGCTCCGATTCCGTTGTTACTTGGATCAGTATCTAACACAAACGTCTTGCCACGAACTGGATATGCTAGCAAAGGAGCATCACATAGTTCAACTTTTAACTTTTCAAATGCTGAGTCGCATAGGGTATTCCAGTTGAAAACTCGGTCCTTTTCGGTAAGTTGGTAGAGAGGTCTGGCAACTTTTGCAAAATCCTTTACAAAACGTCGATAGTACGTTGACAATCCCAGAAAACTGCGCAATTCATTTTTATCCATTGGAGTTGGCCAGTTTTTCACAATTTCTATCTTGCTGGAATCGGTTCGAACTCCATCTGAAGATACCACATGTCCCAAATAGTTAACTTCTTTAGAAAATAACCTGCACTTTTTAACGTTCAGCTTTAAATTTGCCACCCTAAGTCTTGTGAAGATCTCTCGTAAGTTTCGACATGTTGATCAAATGTTCTTTCTAGAACAATTATGTCGTCTAAATAGACAAGACAAGTTTTCCAGTTAAGACCTTGCAAACACATTCCATCAGTCGCTCGAATGTAGCTGGAGCATTGCACAATCCAAATGGCATGACGGTTAGATCTATTGATGTTAGATCTACGGTTAGATGATAGTGTAAGTGGACGAACTGAGATTCTTACTGTCTCAATCAAAACTAAAAATGGATTAAGTCAGTCTGGAGCTCCGTCTGGTAATAACTTACCGATAAATTGTTTGAGATGGTGGTGACTTCGGATTCGAGGCTGCTGCCTGATACTGACACTTTGTTGATGTTGTATGAATCTGCTTATACATTTGCATGTATTGATGAGGCTCATTATTTATTAGTGTACGGCACACATAAACCTTTGAAGTTTAAGTAATAAGTTCAATTCTTATATTAATAAATGTCCTTAATTATAATAAATATACTTTTAACATCTCTCCTTACTATAATAACTCTTAAATCACCTATTATCATAATATTCAACATTTTAATATTAGCACTACTCACAGCATGAACTTATGCACTATTTCTAAGATCTTGATACTCATTCTTAATGCTATATATAATTACTATGGCTGGACTATCAGCTACCGCCGAATGTGACATAAAAAAAATCATTGCTTTGTCCACATTAAGACAGTTAGGACTGATAATAACAGCTCTTGGTTTAAACCTACCAATGCTAGCATACTGTCTAATCTGTCTAAATTAAGCTCAACTTTACCTGAAGTAGCAGTTCTTATCGTTATTTTTTCATGTATGTCCCTTCTATTTTACTTAAATCTTGGTACTAATAAGTTCTTTGATGGAGCAATCCCTTAAGCTGGAGCATTGCACAATCCAAATGGCATGACGGTGAATTGCCACAACCCTGATCCGATAGAAAACGCTGTCTTTTCGCAATTGTTCTTGTCGATTTCTACTTGCCAGTATCCGCTTTTCAAATCAAGCGTAGAGAACCAACTTGAGCCAGATAGGGTGTCCATGATGTCATCAATCCTCGGTAACGGATAGCTGTCCTTTTTAGTCACATCATTTAACTTCCTATAATCAACGCAAAAACGGGTAGTGCCGTCCTTCTTCTTTACCAAAACAACTGGCGAAATCCAGGGACTTGATGACGGTTCGATGACGCTTTGATTCTGCGTTGTCGTTATCATTTCGTTTACTTCTGTTTGTTTTGCTAGAGGAAGACGTCGTGGTACTTGTCGGATCTGTTTCGAATCCTGAGTATCAATTCGGTGAGTTACCAGAGCTGTTTTACCTTGGTCATTGTCACCGGTTGAAAACACGTCTGCAAAATCAGCAATCAACGCCTCGGCTTTTAGACGGTCTTCTTGATACAAATTGAGTTCATCCAGTAGATTTTTGGTAAGTTCTTTGTCAGTTGGTAGAACCTTTTCCTGTTGCTCCATATCTAATGATTTCACCAAATTTATTGATTGGCAATTACCTATTTCCTCGCTTTTTTAATTTTAACAGTGTGTTTAGCGGTATTCATTATTCTGAGAGGAATAAGACCATTTTTGTTCGCTTCTACCAGGCATTTTCCAATGACCGCGTTCTGTACATTTGTCGTTGAGGTTGGCTCCATCAAATAGAACTGGTGGCCCCCAGGATCGCAATTCAACTTGCCCCATACGATGTTTTCATATGATTGAGGTAGTTCTATGTCACAATCGACTGTCACTCGAATGCATTTTTCGTCGCAATCCCCCATTATCACTTTTGTATTTCTCCATCTAAGAATGCGTTTTGTCAGAAAGTCGACACCTATTATGCATTCGTCGATGATATCCGCGACTAAGAATGAACCTTTGAATAACAAGTCGCCTAGCTGAACAGTACGGAGAATCTTTCCATAGACTGAAGCTGTTCCTCCGGTAGCTGTTCGAAGGATGTATTTGTTAGAAGTCTCTTTCTTTAGATTGGGTACCAAATCAGATCTTAAAATCGATTTTGTTGCTCCGGTGTCGACTGTAATTACACATTCTCGTTGATCAACTTTTCCGTTCAGCCATAGGTCGTTTCGATTTCGATGTAGTCTGGAAACGTAGGTCGTTTCGATTTCGATGTAGTCTGGAAACGTTAATTACGGTACTGGGGGCGTCAATTCTACTAGCCAACCTCTGTCCCACAAAGTTGGCTCTTATTTGTTTTCCTTTCGTTAGAAGGGGCCAATCCTGAAACAGGATCATCTTCTCTTCTTTTGCGCCATCTTGTCGCGCAATTTCGGCAAGTAGTTATCTTTTAGGCGGTGTTTACAATCACGACGTAGATGGCCTTTTTCACCACAAATCCAGCATTGGGGTACACCATGCTGTTGAGGTTCGCGTTTCACAACCACCTTCTGGCAAGGGCATTCTTCATGTACTTGGCGTAGACGTACGTCACTTTTTGATGCTTGCTTTGCCGATTCAAAAGTGAGACTGTGCGCAACGGCATCCTTGAGTTTTCGTTTACCTGACAAGAGAAGGGATTGCTTGAGTTCCGAATCACAAAGGGCTTTGATAAACGTATCCAGGGCAGTTTTGTCTCTATGCTCGGGGTCTGATGTCGGATACGACAGCAATGTCAACCGTTCGATATCTTCTGCCAGCTGCTGAATGGATTCACCAGATCGTTGCGTTCTGTTTCTAAGTTGAGATCGATAAATCTGTATCATGTGTTCTTCACCATAACGTAAATCCAACGCGCTAACCAGAACTTCATAGTTGAAGTGGTTCTCCGCCGAAATCGTCTGAAGAACCTCTGCTGCTGAACCTTGCAGGGCCAGTATCAGTGCTGTTGCTCGTTCTTTTCCGTTCCAACAGTTACTAGTTGCCGCTGCTTCGAACTGGGTTTTATAAACGTTCCAGGACATCTCTCCGTCAAATGCTGGTACCTTCAAAATTCTTCCGGATGCGTAATCTAACGGCATGGCCATTTTTTTTGGATTGCTCCAATTCTCGCTTCAATTTGTCTATCTTGTGATCTACCTCAACGGTCTGACGATCAAGTTTCTGCTCGATCATTTCTATTCTTGTTGACTGTTCTTCAATCTGTTCTGCCACTTCCAATTTTACGTGTTTTAGCTGGTCCTTGATCTGTTTTAACTCCTCTGTCTGTCGTTCGGACTGTTCCTTGATCTGTTGTTTTATCTCTTCTGTCTGTCGTTCGGACTGTCGTTCGGACTGTTCTTTGATCTGTTCGGACTGTTCATTGATCTGTTGTTTTATTTCAGTTGACATACTAAGCAGAAGTTCCATCATTTTAGCGGTTGTAAACGTGCCTGTGCTAATTTCATTGTCTTCGTCAGCACCATCAAACTTGAATTCGTCTGGGTTCTTACCTTCGTCAATGAGAGCTTCTCTCAGACGTGCTACTAGTACTTCTTTGTTGCCACTTGTGACAAGGCTTCGTTTCTGTAGTTCTTCTCGTAGTTGAACTATGTTCAAACCACACAGTTTTGACATCGTGTTCTTTTACTATGAGTAGTAATTCGCTGGTCGAAGATCCCACTTCTGACACCAATGTTATAATACTCGCTGTCGTAACCGATTTACGATGCGACGGGTTCAAATCTTCAATTGAATAAAATACTCCAAACAGTTATTAGTTATTAAACTTTATTTAAAGAAGAAATCAACTAATCGTTTATTTCTAGCAAATTCAAATTAACACAACAATTAACTTTTAAATTGTTCAAAATCTATCGCTATGACAACGTCAACAAAACATATCAAATATCGCTTTAAATAATTCACCGAATCGCTATTCACAAAATCACAGAGTCACGAATTTACAAAATCACGAATTTCACTAATCGCTAATCTTCTTGCGACGTGCGCTTATATACTCTTCGCAAGCGTCGTTTCTAGATTCTTCCAGATGGTCCGATTCTAGCATATTCTAGAATGTTCTATGCGTTCGATAGCACGGTTATAACAATATTTTAATAACATATCATTATTATTATGCGTTAACAGTTTTATGAATGTTATGGATGTCCTTGATTAATGTTATTAATATGATAGATGTTTCAAATGTCATGAGCGATTTATAGACAGGATTACGTGGGGAGGAATAATTTTTGAAAACTTTCCAGAAACTCCATTGTAAATTAAACTTATTTTGAACTTTATGTTAAAAATTGTTGTGCGTGTGTGTTCAGTTTTTGTTATTTATTTGTTTTTTTTATTGAACAAATTTGTTTTCATGAATTCCCTGATTTAACGTATCGAAATCTTATTAGATTTGGCTTTCCATGTTCTGTCAATTTGCTTTCAACTCACACTTCACACAGGAGACCACAAAAACTTGATACCAACTTACATTGATACAAAGTGATACAAACATTGATACAAACTTGATACAAACATTGATACAAACTTTATACATACATTGATACAAACTTGTACACATTTCAGCAATCATTCCGCTCTCCATACGCACGTCTGCTAAGGGCAAATGTAAACTTATCTGTTCATTTCAAATGTGCAAGCACAAAAATGTACTTCGTTTATTTATGAAAGCTTGCTAAACCAAAATCTTTTTTAGGTGTACCTTCACAATAAGAAGAAACCACTTGCAATGTTTATTTACTATTCAATCTGATAAGAACGCTAGTATCATTGAGCAATCTATGCCTAACAATAAATTGCCGACCAAATTTTTCGTCTTCTTGCTTGTTTGCATCGTAACCCATCCATTCTGCTGTTGGAATGTTGTCGTGTTTGTACATCTCACGTGTCTACGTATGTCTGTGTTGTTTGTATGCTTCTAATGTTGTGTACCCACTATGATTATAACAATAATAACAATAACAATAGTAATAACAATAATAACAATAATAATAATAATAATAATAATAATAATAATAATAATAATAATAATAATGTCATTCATTTAGCGCCATGACAAGCGACTGAGGAGCATTAACATTACAACAAACACACATTGTCTAAATACGCGTGAATCAACGCATCGCACACGTTTGCATGTGGTAGGTGGAGATCTCTTTACATTCGAACCCGGACACTGCGTCAACAACGCCAGGCACGTTAACCATTGCACCATCACGTATCTATAATATTTTGTGTTTATCATATTTGCGTGCTTAAAATATTTTCACGGACCCTTATCCATTGCGCGTCTCTACCTACAGCAATATTGTATGTCTGCAATGCGATATTGGTAATGTTACTATGAAGATGTCTGTGTGTTTGTATATTGATGCATGTATGTATGTTTATAACGCTCTCTGGCATATGTTTGTGTTGTATGTTTGGAAAGAGCATTTAAATGTGTTTGTCAATTGCTACACAAATTTGTTTGCCGAAATGTTTGTTTGTGTTTGTTTATATTTTGTTTCTCTCGTTTATATACAAGAAACCAAAATTATTCACGACTGTTTACGAGTTTTGATCGCCGCATGTTGCAGCCTCGTCAAGGCGGCCAACGCTGGTCCATGCGAGGTCTGATTGCACCACATGTCGTACGCGAAGATTTTCTTTTCTTATCGGAGCAGCTCGCATGCGGCCACCCACATTTTTGTGGTGTCGTTGGCATCGCATGCACCGTCTACCAATCTGGTGGCGGGTTGGGACAGGGGTCGACCATCACTATGAATCTTGTAATAATTATACGCTCTAGTAAGGTTACATGTGGCAATAAATATTATTATATCTTATAATAAAAGAGTGTTTGAAATTAAATGATTTCTAATGAGATTAACAACGTTAACGGGAGGTTAGCAACTGTTTTTAATCATTGATAAACTTTACACCACACCAAACTACATGTCAGAGATTTACCCGGTGACCTAGTTCAAACTCTATTGTCCGCTTTTAAGTTTATGATGTCTTAAATTGTATTAAAACACATTACATCATTTTACCTCACGTTACATCATACCCCATCACATCACATTACCCCATGTCTTATTACGTATATAACATCTCATCCAATCCCATACCACCACACCACACCACACCTCACCACACCACCAGACACCACACCACATTACCTCATCCACATGTGTACGTAGTAAGTACACGCTGCTAAAATGTGGCTTTGTACTAACTGCGATGGGGATAATCCAGAAAAAGTGATGAAAAAACAATTTGGAAGAAGGAAAAAGAAAACGAAAAATGAAGAAAAAGTCTAAATTTAAAAAATAAATGAGAAAAATTAAAAAAAGAGAGAAAAGGAGTGAAGAGGGAGTGAAAAGAAGTGAAGAGGAGTGACGAGAGAGAGAAAGGGAGAGAGAAAGAGAGAGAAAGAGAGAAAGAGAGGGAGTGAAGGAACATGCGTAGTGATGTTGCGTGCGGACTTGCGTATAAAAGTGCGTTGAGAGACGATGGAAGGAAGAATGAGAAGTGCGTCAAGTGGATCGTTGGATCAGTCTTTACATAATTTCTTCTTATTTTAATTCGTTCGTCAGTTTACTTAAGTCGTTTTTAATTTAAAATATTATCTGTCGTCGGTTATTTCGGAGTTTTAGTAAAAAAGAAAAGTGAATTTAAATTTCGAATCCTGTTGCGGCTACTTCTGTTAAAAATGTTTGCTTATTGTTCATAGTCGACAACATTTAAAAAACTTAATTGTAAATATTTAAAAATATAAAATTTAAATAAATAAAAAGTTAAAATATAAGGAAAATATACCTTGAAGCCCATCAGCTCATTATATGTTTTACATTCAACAAATTAGCAATAATTGTCCTCTGGATGATTTGGACAAAAGCTTGCAGTAACAGAAAATAAACATTGCAGTAGTAATAGTCAATAATTAATTAATTAATTAATTAATTAGTTAATTAATTAATTTGTTTCTTATTCTTAAATCATTTTTATTTTCCATGAATTTTTTTTACTCCGTTATTTATTTTCCGATATAATTTCGTGAGAATTTTTTAATGCTTGTTGGTTGTAACAATTTTTGATTTTATGAGGAATAAAAAAGAAGTTGTAGTAAGTGTAGTTGTTGTTGATATTGTTGGGGATTTCTTTTAATAATTCCAGATGAAAATAACATGGGCATGTTATGTTACACGTTGGTGAGGTAGGTGAATGACGCTTTGAAACGTGCTGATGACCTCAACCGTGGTTTATGTATGTTTAAAAATAAAAATAAAAAAGTTGTAAATAAATAAATCTTCTGTTGATTCTGCCTGCTGAATCACTGTCTATGGATTACAAACGCTAGTTCTAATATGATAATGAAGAAAAAGATGATGAGGAGGAAGAAGACGATGACGACCGTACTAGAATCTTATAATTAAAAATTATAACAACGACAACTTCAACGACAAAAACATAGCCAAATAGTTATGGTGACGTCAATAGTGATTATGGGGATGAGGATGGTGATAATAATGACGTCATTAATAACAATTCTCGCAAGTGAGTTAATGTTTTTCCTAATGTCGTCTTTATGATGGTACTGATAATTAGCAACTATGCATCCAATAAAAGCGCTCATTCGTAGAAACAAATGATCTTAAAACATATACAAATTTTCACACGTTCCCCCCCACCCCCCCCCCCCTTCCCCCTCCCTCCCACACTCCCACACACACACAAACACGCACACACACGCACAGAAATCCACACATACACGTAAACAGTAATCAACACACACCGCACTTATACACACACACACACAAACGCGTGTGTCACACACATGACGATGAATTTCAAAAATGACGAACTCTGTTGGACAAACACGCCACTGAAGATGATGGTGATGATGATGGTGATGATGGTGGTGATGGTGATGATGGTGATGATGGTGGTGATGGTGATTGTGATAGTGATGGGGATGATGATTGTGATGGTGATGAAGATAATAGAAATATAATTTAAATAAAATAATTATTTAAATTGACCTGTAAATAGGGCAAAAGTCTGTTGATTTAAATTATAAACAAATTTGACATGTATTAAAACAAAAATTAAATTAATAAAAATATTAAATAAAAACTAATAAAATTAAAATAATTTAATTACAACAAAAAAGCTTTTTTCAGCTAAATTGCCACCATCAACTTTAATGCTTGAAAGAATTAAAACATTCAAGTGTTAATTGTTTGAAAACGCTAAAACTCAAACTAAAACTCAACCGTTAAAACTGAAACGCTGAGAATAGCAATTTAGCCGTAGAAAGCTTTTATGTAAAATATTTAATAAATTATTCTAATTTTATTAGTTTTAATTTGATATTTTCATTAATTAACTTTTCATTTTAATAAATGTTAGTTTAAGATAATTTTAATTAATTTCTATAATTTCAATATTTTTCGTGTTTAAACATTTTTTTTCGTTATTTATTCATTTAATCATATATTTTTATTTTGTTATCATTTCATGCTGTTGCTTTGCACGCATGCTGTAACAGTTATTCATTCTTAAAGAATACAAATTAAAAATAAAAAAATTCAATAATGACCTTTATGGTAATAAGAAAAATAAATAAAAATCCCAATAATTCTAATTATATATACGAAATAATGTGACGTTATTAAGTGAAGAAACTTTCTATTTGAAAAATAGAGAAAAATATTGATGACGTCATCAATGTCCTGCATTTTAATGGTTACGAGATTGAGAAGAGAATGTTTCGTTAATTAGGTTACATCTGCTGCCTCTGCTGTTGCTTCAACTGCCGCTTCTACTTGCTGCTGATCGTGATCATCATCACATCCGACGATCATTATCATAACGATTACTAAACTTTTGGGAAAGAAAATGTGCTTATTTTGATGACAACCTAGCAGATGATAATAAAAATTGCGTGTAAATAGCAAAACAACGGTGAAGATGATATAAAAGTCACAAAATAAGGCTAGCATCATATAAGTTCATCATTAAGGCCGTCGTCGTAATCATCATAATGACAATTATCGTCATCATCATCATCATCATCATCCTCATCACCACCAGAATCATTACCATCGCTATCATCATCATCATCCTCATCATCATCATTCTCATCATTATCATTTTCATCATCATCATCATCATTCTCATCATCATCATCATCATCATCATCATAATCACTATCACCACCAAAGTTATCACTATCATCATCATCATCTTCCTCTTCATCAGCATCACCACCGAAATCATCACCAGGACCGAATGACGTCATCGTCACCGGCTTTGAGATAGCGGCACGACAGTCGCATTAATGTTTTATTTCATATCATTTGTTTTCTTTTGTATTTTCCAAAATAATTTTTTTAAACATTTTTTAGCAGGGCTAATATTTCTTCGACTCGTTCTTTTTATTTGCTCCTAATTTATTCTCTTCAAGCCTAGAAACGAGATGAAAGAATGTTTAATTTTTAATGAATTTTTTTCAAATTTAAAAGTTTTTTTACATTATTTATTTTTTGAAATGATGTTTTTAAGTTGATGTTTTTGGTGTTGATGTTTTTGTGTTGATGTTTTATGTTGATAATTTTTGTTGATGTCTTTTGATGATGTTTTTTGTGTTGATGATACGTGTTGATGTTTTTTTGTTGATGTTTTTTGTTGATGTTTTTTATTGGTGTTTTTGGTTGATGTTCTTTGTTGATGTTTTTTGTGTTGATGTTTTTGTTGGTGTTTTTGTGTTGATGATACGTATTGAGGATACGTGTTGATGTTTTTTTGTTGATTTTTTTTGTTGATGTTCTTTGTTGATGTTTTTTGTGTTGATAATTTTATTGTGTTCATGTTTGACAAAAAATTCTCAAGAAAGATAATGTATAAAAAAATGTTTCAGTATTCAAGAATGAAATATTCATCCGTCCATCTACTTATTCATTATCCATATATCCATCCATCCATCCATCCATCCATCCATCCATCCATCCATCCATCCATCCATCCATCCATCCATCCATCCATCCATCCATCCATCCATCCATCCATCCATCCATCCATCCATCCATCCATCCACCTAGCAGACGACATACGCCCCTCCTTCCACCTCCTCTCCCACAACGACACCATCCACGTTCAAGAGGGGCAATCCCTGGTTCTCCCTTGCAAGTCAGTTATGATGACGATGATGATGGTGGATGATAATAATAATGATAATATTAATAATGATGATAAAGATAATGGTGGTGATGATGATGATTGACAATGATGGTGGTGATGATGATGATTGGTTATGAGTATCTTTGATGAGTTGCTCAACTTGATCGTGTAATGATACTCCTCACAAATTGTAAATGAAAAATCCAAATGAGCCAAGAAGACATGTTGGCGTTAAAATAATTCTAAGTTAACTTTAGAGGCTTTGGTGGTGAGATGTTGAATGATGATGACGATGATAATGGTGTTCAGGGTGGTTGTGGTTGAAATGGTTTTGATAATAAATAATAGTTGTAATGATAACAGATTGTGATGATGACGTCGACGCTGATGGTGATGGTGATGAGCATGGTAGTGATGATGATTATGATGATGATGACGTCATTGATGATAATGATGATGATGATGAAGTAGAGCATGGTAGTGATGATGATGATGATGACGTCATTGGTAATGATGATGATGATGATGATGATGATGATGATGATGATGATGAAGTCGTTGATGATGATGATGAAGTAAATTATGATGATGATAAGTTAAAAAATTATCAACATCGACGAATCGGACATTGGAAACATTGAATAAAACGGATAAAAATTAAGATAACGAAGATAACAATGACGAAGATGACGACGATGATGATGATGATGATGACGATAACGATGATGATGATGATGACGAAATTAGACAGACGAGGATTGATGGTAATGAAAAAAGATGATGATAGATGATGACAGCTAAAACGACAACGAAGGCGATTATGACGTCATGTTTAGAAAATGATATCATTGGTAACGATGAAAATGTATGCATTGATATATAATGATGATGATGGTGATGGTGATGGTGTTGTCAACAAAGTGTGAATTCATGTGAATTGGTGGTCGCCAAGTAGAAGAGCCATTATATAATGATGATGACGATAATAATGATGCTGATGATGATAGTGTTATCAACAAAGATGATAATGTTGTCTGAAATAATAAAATTTAAAGTAAAAATTATGATATATTAACAAAAAA